CCCCCCCCCCCCCTGTGTGTGCCTGCGCTTGTGTGTGTGCAGCAGGGCATGTTTGACTTTCCAGACTGGTTTGACGGTCTGCCAGTTTGGATCCACAGCTTGCCTAAGGCATCAGAGCCCTCACGCAACAACAGCGACACTGATGCCCAAAGCACACAGGTTCTCTGCCTTTGTGCCCAATCAAAACCCTGTCAGCCCAAGGTCAGGGTAGGCTATCCTGAACACTGCAGGAATTACAGCTACACTGCCTCACAGTATGAAAACTTTCTTTGTTATGCGAGTCTGCTGTCTGTGTTTCTCTGTGCAGTTATAACATCCTGAATTTACCTTAACTCGCGCAGAACTGAGATGGTTTGCCCAGAGGTCTGCACCGAACTTAGAAATGCAGTGGGGATTTGCAGATTTTCCACCAGTGCAAACACCTGATCTTGAATCAACGAAAGAAGTGGAGACACGACAATTGTGACCCCTGGTGACAGAATGGCTGGCAGCTGCACACACACAATCGGATAGGACCACAATAGTCCAGGACAGAGTGTAATTAATAATTATCATCACAAAATTAACTCGTTTCAAATGGCAATTAACTCTGCTAAGAGAGAGGAAAAAAACAAAAGGGAGCTTTGCCTATGCAGAACAACAATAGTCCTGGACATCAGAAAATAATTAGGAAACGTTTAAATGGAAATGAACAATGCTAAGAGAAAAATAATTATGGCAATGAACAATGCTAAGAGAAAAATAATTGGATAAACTTGGATAGAACCTATGCGGGGAGGTCCAATACATCTGGAAACCCCTATGTTATTCACAGTAGGAATCATCTTCTTATTTACCATATCAGGACTTACTGGAATTGTACTAGCTACTTCTGGTCTTGACATTGCTCCCCATGACGTTTATTATGTAATGGCTGAGTACCACACTTTTATTAGGTACTTTCTATGGGAGCTGTATTTGTGTCTTGCAGGGTTCTATTATTGGATAGGCAAAATATCTGGACTCCAATATCCAGTAGAAACATGAGCTTTGTGTACACGCTCGTCTCCTAGCACGAAGAACAGGAAATTCGGACATGTTTAAACCATACATCCGGCACATTCAGTTGCAGTGCCCCGTGCACGTGTGCCGCACTGTGCAGCGCACGATGTGGCGCACCTGGAAACTTAGGGGTCGGGGGAAAAAAAAAAAGTTGGGGGGGGGGGGGGGTTGCAGGCCCGACCAGGACTTGGCACGAACCGACAAAAAAAAAAAAAAAAAAGGGAGCTCCAGGCAGTTTGATTTCAAACTACTCGGGGCTGCCCCACGCTGGCCTCAGACACCCGGTAGTCCATCCACATTCCTGCCCTCGAAGCGGCTGCCGTGCATTGCCCATCGCCTTGTCATCTTACCTCTCCTGTGCAGCAGAAGGCCCCCGTATCGTCGTCCAGACATAGCCAGTGGGGAGCATCCAAGGAAGCAGGGGGAGGAGTGAGGCCTCATCTCCAGCAGCCGGCAAGCGGGTGAGCACCAGCCCCCCTCTCTTTCTCCCCTCCTTCCTCTCTCTCTCTCTCTCTCTCTCTCTCTCTCTCTCTCTCTCTCTCTCTCTCTCACACACACACACACACACACACAAGTGTGGTAGTGTAT